CAAGCTCCTCAAAAACCTGCGAGACCCGGCAGAGCAGGCGCCAAAGCGCGCAACGTACATGCGCGCATGGCACTGACAAAAAAAACCCTAAATGAGGCTATTGAGTTTCCAACCTTTGGGCTTCTACTGTATACCCTAGGAGTTTCGGGTTGAGGGTTGAGCAGTTTCGGGTTAAGGGTTTAGGATTTAGGGTCTCGGAGTCTTGGAATTAAGGAACATACCGTAATTCATAACAGGAGCTCCACAAGCTTTATTGTTGAGGGCTTTTTGGGTTCAGGATTTTGGGAGTTCGGGTTTGGGATTTTGGGTTTAGGGATTCTGTACTGGGAAGCCTAACAAGATACCTTAAATCGATTTGTAATAAGAATAATAGGAACCCTAACAAGAAGGTAGATTCCTTCGAAGGGTGTTGGAGCCTCAGGCTTACTGGGGGCTAAACCCTAAACTCCTTAAACCCTAAAGCTACGCCGCCCCCCCCTATTTGCCCGCACCCATGTGCGACTTTGCTTGTTGCCCGGCAGTCTCCCTTAAAGCTCACTCATGGATCCACTCGCATTTGTCATGCAAGAAGGCATCCTTGGGGCCATATGAACTGTACCATTCGAACAGTCCAACCTATACTCTTTCAAAGCTGCCAGAACTCGATCAAGGCCGCACTGCCTATGCAGTGCAGCTGAAGCCATGGCCTGCACGTTTTTCTGCAGACCCATGGAACGAGTTCTTCCCAAATTCACGTTTAGTCTGAGCAACTGCAGGTTTTTTGGAGCCCCTGCTCTTGCACTTCTTATCCATCATTCGCTGCGTTCTAGCATCCAAGCTGCTCTTCAAGACTCTTGCAATGGGTGTGAACACTTTCCTCATGTGGTTGACCCCAGGTAAACTCGGCTTACCTGCATCACGGAGTGCTCCATGAAATGCCCGACTGCCATCTGGAGCTCCCACAGTGCCTGCACCCATGGCATCTTTGATTGGCTGATCCACTTCCGCCCTGGACTCTGCTAAGCTTGGCTCCGACAGTAAAGGATGTGCGAAGAAGCATGGCGTAGTCGATGTCTGTGCCATTGGATGCAAATCCAAACAGTGGAGTAAAAGCAACTTGTGGCGCAGTCAAACGTGGTCGTTGGGAGCAGGAGCGATTTTGACATCGAAAACCAGACCCATTCGCTTGCATATCCTTCTTGCAATTCCAGCAGA